TTTCAAATGCCCCATCTCTCCTCCTCACGTTTTGGTCTGTGTCAAGTGTAGGCCCACTTTGCACTTTCTGTAGCCTCTTAAGAGTAATCCTAACAAACCATGATAGATGGTACACTGTAAGTTACGCATCTTCTCAGGCCCACTTAGGCCAGTGATCTCTCCTCAGAGAAATAATAAAGAGCTGGGAAGAGCTATAAATGGCTTCAGGGAAGTTATTGAAACTGTCAGCAGCTAATACACATTCTTAGGTCTGTTTGGTTTTTGTGAAGATAAAGCCATACCTACTCAGCAGTTTCCAATGCACTGATTAGTCTGCAGTGCTAGCAATTCCTCTTGCTCTGTCAAAATAACAGTATCCTGTATTTGAAGAACTGTTTTCTGTGTAGAAAAAAGAATCTTACTCAATATGAATATTTGCAAACAATGTTTATTGCATGCAGTCTTTACAGAGAGTCTCTAGTTTGGGTGGCTATTTCTGAAGAGATTCCTTCATTGGCTTTATGTAAATACTGTCTACTCAGAGAGATGGGAGATAGGTTCTTAAAACCATAAGGAATGACATTACATTTTTATTATTACACATATCCCTTCTCAGTGGTGGAGTCTAGCTGAGAGGAGCGTCTGGAAATTGTATAGCCTCCCCATGGCTACGTTGTCTCAAACAAACTCTGAGGCATATTGTAATGCTTATCTGATGTTCCTCAGGATATCTGAATCCTTTTGTTTGCAACTAACAGTATTTCATCTCCTCTTTCATGACAGGCATGCAAAATATAATGGTCCTTTTTCACTAGAAAGGAAGAAAAGAATGCCACAAATTAAATATTAGGCAAGTAATCGCCCATCTTTAATGAGCAAGGACAGTTGCTCAGCAAGTATTTTGCCCTTTATTCTTTTCACAGGAATGCCTCTGCTCTTCCTTGAGGCCACCAGGCACAGCACAATTTAGGAGAAGCCTGTGATATTTCTTGGAAACAACAATCTTGCACGGAAAGGCAAATTTCTTGTATTACACATTTTCTGTCTAAATGCTTTGCTGGCTTATTAAAATGCCCAGTGAAACTAATGAGAGAACATTTTTAGCTTGAAGGAGTAAATGATAATAGCAATTTCTCTTATTCAAAGCCATACGCTTTCATAACAAATAAATAAATAAGGAAATCAACTCTTATTATCAAAGCCAACCCACGTGTTCATCCCAACTGCCAAGCTACAATCTGTGTTACTAAGGTGGTCATCTATTCTTTTTTGATGTTTAATATTAATAGGGTGTTTATTCCTTTACCCTCTTTAAACTCTGCTCGATCAGCCAATCCTTCCACTAAAGGAAATTACAGGCTGCAGGGGAATCTGGAGAAATATCTGTGTTTTAATACTAGCTGTATGTCATCCAGGATCCCACTGGAGATGACATTATTGCTTTTCAATGGCGAGAGCTGGTCACATGGGAGGTGATGTTTTTATTATAATCAGCTGCAGAGAACTGGTGAGGGTGAGCTCATCTGCAGCTGAGTATGTTTGAACTTTTGTACCTTTCAGTACCTTTCTGTGAGCAGTAGAAACCCTCTCCAACTGGGATGTGTTAGTAAGTTTGGTTTCCTGTATGTGTTGAGATCTTAGGAAATGGCCACAGGAAATGAACTTTTAAAAAGAAACAAAATTGAAACACGGAATTACCATGTTGATCATTGAAACAAAGCAGTCTCATCCAGGTTAGGTAGGAAAGGATTATTATGGTTTAAATATCTGATTTGTTTTCCGTTCACAGAATTACTGAGAAGATTTTTTGAGTCTCTGTTTTATTACACAAAGCATATTCTGCTTACATTGTAGTCTACTGTTATGCTGGGGGTCTCTTGGGACATGCTGAGCACCCTGAACGCCTATCTGCAACCTCAAGAATTGGTCTTTAGTCAAAGCCTTTATAAACACATCGCATCTGCTTCCCTGGGACAATTTCCAGATGACATGCATTTCATTGACTTTTCTGTGAGGAGTAAATGGAAATCTAGTGGCACATCTGGTGCTGCCTTCAAATCAATTTACAATAGTTAAAGAGATTTGAATTGGCACTCACTCACATGGGGAACCTGTTGTGCAGCTCTTTGTTCACTTCACCCCACTGAATTGACCATTAAACAATTGTATTTACCTTAATGCAGATTTTGTTAGGAAAAAAATGACATTTTGCGCATGGCTGAGCGTTAAGGCAGTTAATCAAATTAAAGCAAAAAAACTTGTGGCACAGTAGGAAACCTGGATAACAGGAACAATCATTTAGTCAGCACATTTCTGTTCCCACAGGAGCCAAGACTAATTATTAGGACCAGGCTGCATCCAGAGGGATGAGGATATGGCAGCACAACAGCATTTCTCTGTACAGCTGCTCTAATCAAATTTATTTACATGTTCTACAGAAACAATGGCTTTAAAACATATTTATTCCCTGTGCAGGCTGGGAACTGTACAAAATGGAGTGATGTATTTTCTCTATCAAGTTTTCGCAACCATTTGCAGTGTATGAAAAGCAGCTTTTGCTATCCAGCTTATCCAGTACCATCCATACAAGTCAACCCTGAGTAATTTTGGAAAAGGCATATCAAAGAAACAAGGAGTTTACAAAGGGAAAAGAGGAAAGCAGATCCAAGTCTGGGAATTATCTCCATGAAACAGACACTTTTCTTTCTCTCTCTCTCTCTTTTTTTTTCTTTTTCTTTTCTTTTTTTTTTTTTTAATTTAAGTAAAAGCAATATAACATTCCACAGTCAAAGGATGTTCTCTTATCACAGAGAAGACTTTGGGTTAATAGCATACTTCTTGATATCTCTCTATTCTATTTACTACACCAGATCGTAAAAGGTGAGAGAGAGTAGTTTAAGTCTAGAGCACTTTAATGAGGTAAAAGCATTATTTTGTGCTTAAGGCACTGAGCCAGATCTTCGAACATCTGGTTCAGTTCCTGCCTTTTCTATAAACTTCCTGTGTGACAAAATACATTTGAACTTCAGTTCCCTATCTGTCAGGCAGGGATCACATTGTTTTCTTGTTTTACAGAGGTGGTCAGTTCATACCTGCATGGCGCAGTTCAATGAAAATGTGACTTTAAGCTGTGGAGGAGAATTGACTCCCTTATGTTCTGAATATCCAGTCCTAACTCAATCACTTTTTTCTCTAGCTTAAATGTCTCTCTCTCAATATTGCCATCTGTAATATTAGAATAATGCTTTCTTACTTCCAGTGGCAGTTGTATGAATACATTGATTGCAAAGTTTCCTAGTGCTTAGAAAAAGAAATGTGCTGTAAAAATTGAAATGGTTTTGATTGTAAGAATTTCATGCATTAAGGTGCCTTTTGCATAAGATATAGTCCTTCCACTGTCAGTTTTGCTGCATCTGCTCACAGAGCTTCTTCCCTGTTGTTTTCAATATGAAACAGTTCATTCAGTCTTCAAACATTATCATCTCCCATCTCTCAGATGCACAAACTCGGCTGCAACAGCATGAAAGACAAGAAATGAGTAAATGGTGGTTGCAGCCTGATCTTGGCCAGAATGCTGTTAAGATTTTATCTCTGCAGCGCCTTTCGTGTTCATGGAAAGGCACTGACCTGCTGCTTGTGCCTAACTGGAATGCTGGCCACTAGCCAGCAGCAGAGCAAAAAGTCAAGTTGTGAAACAGGAGAAATATTTGAGTCAACTCCTGAAATAGGTGGAGCAGTCACAGGGAACTAACTCTACTTACCATCCATTCTAAGTTACATGTTTCCTTCCAACAATTTTATTGTTTCTGTGGCTTCCTGACTATTTTCCAGCAAGATTGCAGTCTCAGCCTCCAAAATGCTGGGAAGATCAGTCCTATCTAAAAGCAGTCTATGAACCGACAAGTTTCTGTGATGGCTACTTTTCTGTAAGGGAACAGATTGTTTGGAGCAAATGCTGAATACGTCTGCTTTATGGTGACTGTTTATGTCCTGGGTTTATTGAGAAAAAATGTTTTACGCTGCTAACCAGGACCATTATTTTCAGAAATATAAGTATGCTCATTATCTGGTCCTGTTCCTACAGTACTGTTGATCTTTTCTTTTAAAGTTTTACTGAGGAACCAGACACCATACTCTCAAAAGTACAGATTGTACGGATTCAGGTGTTGTGATCAACCACCATTTTATATTGCAGTATTTCTTTAAATTGTGCTGGTCCTGTTACTACCTCCTCTTTAAGTGAAGTGACTTTTTTTTTTCCTGTAATGCAGGATTTTTTTCTCAGCAATACAGGGCTCAGGAATTGTGTGGAACAATAAGCAAATGGTGTCAGTATCCTCCCCGTGGAGGAAAAAAAAAAAAGAAAGCAAGTGAGCAGGCTTTTGAGGAAAGTTTCAGCGTTTCATTCCAGGATACTCACTCACAGCAATGCACATTCCACAAGGCAGCCTGTTACTGATAAACACAGAACACATCCTGCTTTCTCCTGAACAAACATTTTCTAGTAATTTAAAGGTGAATATTTGAACTGATTAAATGATAAGCTAGGTGTCTTGAAAGAACATGAGTCATTAGGATCTCAAATGCAAAACTGCTCACTCTTTTTCTAGGCACATGCCAGATGTTGTGGGGTTCCTCAGAACCTCTCTCATGGGTACCCCAAAGTCCTTTCTGACACAAGGAACTCTGAAGGCTTTTTCCAGGATTCTGCTTAGCCCTGAGAAAGTAGCCATTAATATTTTGGGGGGGATTGGTCAGGTATGCAAATCAATGCCTGGTTCCAGAAAGCAGAATATGAAGAAAAGTTAATAAAGTGGGAGCACCAAGGACTGGGAATGTTTGAACAGCCCCAGTGCTTGTTCAGTGGAATACAGGAGTCCCTTATCACCAGGCTCCAGAAATGCTTAGTGTGGGTAAGAATTAAGGGGTGGGCTGGTATGGGAGGCACTGTGGTGGGGGTCTACTACAGGTCTCCAGCTGACAGATGTGATCACCGAACCTCTCTCTATCATCTTTGAAAGGTCCTGGAGAATGGGTGAGGTGCCTGAAGACTGGAGGAAAGCCAGCGTCATTCTAGTCTTCAAAAAGGGCAGGAAGGAGGATCTGAGAAGTGACAGGTCAGTGTTTGGGATGGGACGCGGGACCGGGGATGCCTCCTCTTCACGTACAAGGACACGCGTCTCTTTCACGCTCCTTCAGGAGTAAACAAGCCAGGAGAGATTAAAGCCTCTTTCTCCAGGTCAGTAAGATCCCTGCCTTTGGTTTCGTTGAGAATTCAGGCCCTAACAACTCAAGTGTCTTCTGGACGGTGTTTCTTCTGGGTAGGATAATTTCGTTTCCCTTTTGAAGACTTACAGGGATGTAGTAACAAAAGCAAAGGCATAAAACGGTACCTGAGGCACAGGCTACTTTTCAGCCTGCAGCAGACTATAGGTATGATATCAAAGGATATCATACCTATACCTTTGATATCATACCTATAGGTATGATATCAAAGGATATCATACCTATATCATCTATCATGATATCATATCAGGAAACGTAGAAGACTGCCTGTTGCTTCTCAGGTTTAAAGTTTTCCCTTAAAAGGTGTATGCAAAGGTGTAATCAGCTGTTTGAGTACAATTCTCACATATACACGAACATTCTCCTCTCCCCTTCCCAACTTGAGTGCAACACTTTTCATCATACTATTGTAAATTCTGAGTCAACTTAGCTTTATGAGGTTTATTTGTGGGGTTAATAAAAGACAAGTAAACGATTCGTAGTGCCGGGGGGGGAACTAGTTCTTCTTAAGACAGGGACCATTTCAGCATCTTGAAAGCTACAGAAAGGCTTGAATCATGTTCCTGGAATGTTATAAATGTCTTCAAAATCAGACTATAATCGACGGACGATCCATGGGTAAGTTTCAGGTAAGAATAGTTATATCATGAAATAGGCTATAAAAATGTAAGGTATGAATATTACACAATATTTAGCAGTCTTTTAGATACAAAAATGATTAATCATATACAGGTAGATCAATCTGAAGTTATGCAAGCGAAACCTGTTAATGCTGTACCGGCGGACCGGGGACTCGGCGCGGGACCGGGGACTCGGCGCGGGACCGGGGACTCGGCGCGGGACCGGGGACTCGGCGCGGGACCGGGGACTCGGCGCGGGACCGGGGACTCGGCGCGGGACCGGGGACTCGGCGCGGGACCGGGGACTCGGCGCGGGACCGGGGACTCGGCGCGGGACCGGGGACTCGGCGCGGGACCGGGGACTCGGCGCGGGACCGGGGACTCGGCGCGGGACCGGGGACTCGGCGCGGGACCGGGGACTCGGCGCGGGACCGGGGACTCGGCGCGGGACCGGGGACTCGGCGCGGGACCGGGGACTCGGCGCGGGACCGGGGACTCGGCGCGGGACCGGGGACTCGGCGCGGGACCGGGGACTCGGCGCGGGACCGGGGACTCGGCGCGGGACCGGGGACTCGGCGCGGGACCGGGGACTCGGCGCGGGACCGGGGACTCGGCGCGGGACCGGGGACTCGGCGCGGGACCGGGGACTCGGCGCGGGACCGGGGACTCGGCGCGGGACCGGGGACTCGGCGCGGGACCGGGGACTCGGCGCGGGACCGGGGACTCGGCGCGGGACCGGGGACTCGGCGCGGGACCGGGGACTCGGCGCGGGACCGGGGACTCGGCGCGGGACCGGGGACTCGGCGCGGGACCGGGGACTCGGCGCGGGACCGGGGACTCGGCGCGGGACCGGGGACTCGGCGCGGGACCGGGGACTCGGCGCGGGACCGGGGACTCGGCGCGGGACCGGGGACTCGGCGCGGGACCGGGGACTCGGCGCGGGACCGGGGACTCGGCGCGGGACCGGGGACTCGGCGCGGGACCGGGGACTCGGCGCGGGACCGGGGACTCGGCGCGGGACCGGGGACTCGGCGCGGGACCGGGGACTCGGCGCGGGACCGGGGACTCGGCGCGGGACCGGGGACTCGGCGCGGGACCGGGGACTCGGCGCGGGACCGGGGACTCGGCGCGGGACCGGGGACTCGGCGCGGGACCGGGGACTCGGCGCGGGACCGGGGACTCGGCGCGGGACCGGGGACTCGGCGCGGGACCGGGGACTCGGCGCGGGACCGGGGACTCGGCGCGGGACCGGGGACTCGGCGCGGGACCGGGGACTCGGCGCGGGACCGGGGACTCGGCGCGGGACCGGGGACTCGGCGCGGGACCGGGACTCGGCGCGGGACCGGGGACTCGGCGCGGGACCGGGGACTCGGCGCGGGACCGGGGGACTCGGCGCGGGACCGGGGACTCGGCGCGGGACCGGGGACTCGGCGCGGGACCGGGGACTCGGCGCGGGACCGGGGACTCGGCGCGGGACCGGGGACTCGGCGCGGGACCGGGGACTCGGCGCGGGACCGGGGACTCGGCGCGGGACCGGGGACTCGGCGCGGGACCGGGGACTCGGCGCGGGACCGGGGACTCGGCGCGGGACCGGGGACTCGGCGCGGGACCGGGGACTCGGCGCGGGACCGGGGACTCGGCGCGGGACCGGGGACTCGGCGCGGGACCGGGGACTCGGCGCGGGACCGGGGACTCGGCGCGGGACCGGGGACTCGGCGCGGGACCGGGGACTCGGCGCGGGACCGGGGACTCGGCGCGGGACCGGGGACTCGGCGCGGGACCGGGACTCGGCGGGACCGGGGACTCGGCGCGGGACCGGGGACTCGGCGCGGGACCGGGGACTCGGCGCGGGACCGGGGACTCGGCGCGGGACCGGGGACTCGCGCGGGCCGGGGACTCGGCGCGGGACCGGGGACTCGGCGCGGGACCGGGGACTTCGGCGCGGGACCGGGACTCGGCGCGGGACCGGGGACTCGGCGCGGGACCTGGGACTCGCGCGGGACCGGGGACTCGGCGCGGGACCGGGGACTCGGCGCGGGACCGGGGACTCGGCGCGGGACCGGGACCGCGCGGGACCGGGGACTCGGCGCGGTCCCGGGACTCGGCGCGGGACCTGGGACTCGGCGCGGGACCGGGGACCGTCGGCGCGGGACCGGGGACTAGCGGCGGACCGGGGAACTCGCGCGGGACCGGGGACTCGGCGGCGGGACCGGGGACTCGGCGCGGGACCGGGGACTCGGCGCGGGACCGGGGACCTCGGGCGCGGGACCGGGGACTCGGCGCGGGACCGGGGACTCGGCGCGGGACGGGGACCGCGCGGACCGGGGACTCGGCGCGGGACCGGGGCCTCGAGGCGGACCGGGGACTCGGCGCGGGCCCGGGGATCGTCGGCGCGGGACCGGGACTCGGCGCGGGACCGGGGACTCGGCGCGGACCGGGGACTCGGCGCGGGACCGGGGACTCGGCGCGGGACCGGGGCTCGGCGCGGGACCGGGACTCGGCGCGGGACCGGGGACTCGGCGCGGGACCGGGGACTCGGCGCGGGACCGGGGACTCGGCGCGGGACCGGGGACTCGGCGCGGGACCGGGGACTCGGCGCGGGACCGGGGACTCGGCGCGGGACCGGGGACTCGGCGCGGGACCGGGGGACTCGGCGCGGGACCGGGGACTCGGCGCGGGACCGGGGACTCGGCGCGGGACCGGGGACTCGGCGCGGGACCGGGGACTCGGCGCGGGACCGGGGACTCGGCGCGGGACCGGGGACTCGGCGCGGGACCGGGGACTCGGCGCGGGACCGGGGACTCGGCGCGGGACCGGGGACTCGGCGCGGGACCGGGGACTCGGCGCGGGACCGGGGACTCGGCGCGGGACCGGGGACTCGGCGCGGGACCGGGGACTCGGCGCGGGACCGGGGACTCGGCGCGGGACCGGGGACTCGGCGCGGGACCGGGGACTCGGCGCGGGACCGGGGACTCGGCGCGGGACCGGGGACTCGGCGCGGGGACCGGGGACTCGGCGCGGGACCGGGGACTCGGCGCGGGACCGGGGACTCGGCGCGGGACCGGGGACTCGGCGCGGGACCGGGGACTCGGCGCGGGACCGGGGACTCGGCGCGGGACGGGGACTCGGCGCGGGACCGGGGACTCGGCGCGGGACCGGGACTCGGCGCGGGACCGGGGACTCGGCGCGGGACCGGGACTCGGCGCGGGACCGGGGACTCGGCGCGGGACCGGGGACTCGGCGCGGGACCGGGGACTCGGCGCGGGACCCGGGGACTCGGCTCGGGACCGGGGACTCGGCGCGGGACCGGGGACTCGGCGCGGGACCGGGGGACTCGGCGCGGGACGGACTGGCGCGGGACCGGATCGGCGCGGGGACCGGGGACTCGGCGCGGGACAGGGGACTCGGCGCGGGACCGGGGACTCGGCGCGGGACCGGGACTCGGCGCGGGACCGGGGACTCGGCGCGGGACCGGGGACTCGGCGCGGGACCGGGGACTCGGCGCGGGACCGGGGGACTCGGCGCGGGACCGGGGACTCGGCGCGGGACCGGGGACTCGGCGCGGGACCGGGGACTCGGCGCGGGACCGGGGACTCGGCGCGGGACCGGGGACTCGGCGCGGGGACCGGGGACTCGGCGCGGGGACCGGGGACTCGGCGCGGGACCCGGGGGACTCGGCGCGGGACCGGGGACTCGGCGCGGGACCGGGGACTCGGCGCGGGACCGGGGACTCGGCGCGGGACCGGGGACTCGGCGCGGGACCGGGGACTCGGCGCGGGACCGGGGACTCGGCGCGGGACCGGGGACTCGGCGCGGGACCGGGGACTCGGCGCGGGACCGGGGACTCGGCGCGGGACCGGGGACTCGGCGCGGGACCGGGGACTCGGCGCGGGACCGGGGACTCGGCGCGGGACCGGGACTCGGCGCGGGACCGGGACTCGGCGCGGGACCGGGGACTCGGCGCGGGACCGGGGACTCGGCGCGGGACCGGGGACTCGGCGCGGGACCGGGGACTCGGCGCGGGACCGGGGACTCGGCGGGGACCGGGGACTCGGCGCGGACCGGGGACTCGGCGCGGGACGGGACTCGGCGCGGGACCGGGGACTCGGCGCGGGACCGGGGACTCGGCGCGGGACCGGGGACTCGGCGCGGGACCGGGGACTCGGCGCGGGACCGGGGACTCGGCGCGGGACCGGGGACTCGGCGCGGGACCGGGGACTCGGCGCGGGACCGGGGACTCGGCGCGGGACCGGGGACTCGGCGCGGGACCGGGGACTCGGCGCGGGACCGGGGACTCGGCGCGGGACCGGGGACTCGGCGCGGGACCGGGGAC